TAGCAAAGCTAAACATTTGGAGAAAACCAAAAAGCTCACTGGCCTCATGTTCTTCATCAAGCTCGTGGAAAATCAACAAGCACAATAAACACGTGCCAATTCATCCATTACAAAAGCTGAAGATCACTAGCAACATAACACTCCTCGTGATCCCATTTCATTCAAGATCAAGCCTCTATGACCTTTGAAGAAACTTCTAGCCAAATTCAAGATCAAGCTTCGACAGCCCTCGAAGAAACTTTCAGCCTAATTCAAGACCAAGCCTCTACGGCCCTTGAAGAAACTTCTAGCCAAATTCAAGATCAAGCCTCGACGACCCTTGAAGAAACCTTCAGCCCAATTCAAGACCAAGCCTCTATGGCCTTTGAAGAAACTTCCAGCCAAATTCAAGATCAAGCCTCAACGGCCCTTAAATCGACATCTACGTTCAGGGACTTAAAAACACATCTTCTACACGTGACAAGCACATGTATACGACGCACCTTGAAGTGGGGGCATTTGTAGACATCGAAATTTCAGTGAAATAAATATTTGCCAACGCATTAAAGTTTTGACAGGCCAAGGCATATGTGGCATGCGTTATTTGTCGCACAAATTGTACACATAGAGTGTGACTTAACAAAATCAGACGAGTCATCAAGAATGACATGTGTTAACATTTGGCGGAAGGGAATTATTTGATTTTAATTTAATTAAATCAAATGTTATTTGATTGAGTCAGATCACGAACCAGCCTACACATCGAGTCCATGTTCTTTCATTAATTAATCAAGCCCACAATCAAGGCCAGATCCATCCATAGTCAAGGCTTGGAAAGTTTATAAATAGGAGGCTCCAAGACAAACGAAAGGGTCCAGAAATCATTTCATGCCTAAACACTGAAGCTTTGAAATTTTGAAGCTCTCAAGCACTCAAACCCCCCAAACACTCAAACACTCAAAGAAGACTCGAAAAATCCTTCATGTTCTTCGTCAAATCCTGTGAAGAACCACCAAGCACCCCTACATGTGTCGGTTCCTCCATTTCCAAAGGCCAAAACCTTGCAGCATTCGTTCATCCAAGATCAAGTCATTGCGACCCTTGGATTAACAACAGTACACATCTACACATTTTGGAGATTGAATCGGAGGATCAAGTTGTAAAGAGATCGTAACCCTACAAATTCATTAATACAAAACAATTATTTTGTACACGTGTTCTTGTCTCATTTGTCATAGGAAATTCATGTGTACAACTCTAACCCATCAGCCCATGATTTTGAGCATATGATGGATGAGTGGCACTGACTCTATGATTATTTTCAAAATTTATAATTTCTAGAGATGGATGTCTTCTAGAGTATAGCAATTAGACAGGGGGAGTAATTTCCCATTGAAAATACATTTGTTTTTTTTGTTTTTTTAACATAATTGCATTTACATTTTAGTTTTAATTATTAAATAAGTTTTTTTATATTGTGATATTTTGGGAGATTAATATAATAAAAATTAATTAATTAGAATTAAATATAATTTAGGGAGCTTTATATATAGAGAATGAACTCCGAAGCCAGTGAGCTCTCAAAAGGTCTCGTGCTAATGAAGGTGAGCATGTACATATAAGGCATAGAGGATCCACTCCCCTAGGCGATGTGGGATCTAACAATCCACGAAAGAGCCCAACAAGCATCAATCAAGACTTCTTCATCCTTTGAATGAATTAAACGCGCAAAAGCAAGAAGGGCAGGTTTAACCCGATCAAATGGAGGCTGTGGTTTTCCCCTGCAAAAATTTGATAGTGTCCAAGTTGCGTTTCTCAGCATAGAGAGCTTTGCATTCTCATTAAGCTATGAAAGCAATGGAAGCCAAGCCCCATTACCAAGTACAAGATCACGGCAACTAGGGGAATCACTAGCAACATTTCCGAATGCCTAAACAACTTGCTCACGAACATCATCACTCAGAGAACTAAGCAGTTTCACAAATATTGGAACAGCTCCCTGACCAATTACCACCTTTGTATTATCAGATGTCCCAGAAGCAATATTTGTAAGAGCCCAAGCAGCCTCAAACAGAAGTTGTGGAAAATCCTCTCTCACTTGAAATATATAGGAAATAAACACAAACCCCACTCCCAAACTCAACTTTCACTATATTTAAAAAAACTCCACTAGTTTTAAAACATGTCAAGGAGAGACAAAAACATAAAAATAACTAAAGCCCAGCCAAAAAACATGGAAACAATATTTAAAATACCAGTTATACCCCTAAGGCTTTAGGGTTGTTAATAGAACTTAGCTCTCACAACTCCACCAAAATTAATATATGTCATAAGCTCAACTCATCATTGACTATTTTTGCAGAATCAGTTCGACCCTTGTCGGAAGGGAATTATTTGATTTTAATTTAATCAAATCAAATGTTAATTGATAGAGTTAGATCATGAACCAGCCTATACATTGAGTCTAGGTTCTTCGTCAATTAATCAAGCCCACAATCAAGGCCAGATCCATCCATAGTCAAGGCTTAGAAAGTCTATAAATAACAGGCTCCAAGATAAACGAAAGGGTCTAAAAATTATTTCTCACCTAGACGTTGAAGCTTTGAAATTATGAAGCTCTCAAGCACTCAAACCCCTCAAACACTCAAACACTCAAGAAGACTCAGAAAATTCTTCATGTTCTTCATCAAATCCCGTGAAGAACTACCAAGCACCCCTACATGTGCTGATTCCTCCATTGCTAAGAGCCAAAACCTTGCGGCATTCGTTCATCTAAGATCAAGTCATTGCGAGCCTTGGATCAACAATAGTACACATCCACACATTTCGAAGATCGAATCAGAAGATCAAGTTGTAAAGAGATTGTAACCCTACAAATTCATTAATACAAAACAATTATTTTGTACGCGTGTTCTTGTCTCATTTATCATAGGAAATTGTTTACAGCTCTAACCCATCCGCCCATGATTTTAAGCATATGATGGATGAGTGACATTGACTCTACGATTACTTTCAAAATTTATAATTTCTAGATATGGACATCTTCTAGAGTATAGCAATTGAACATGTGAAATTGTTTCCCACTGAAAATACATTTGTTTTTTTTTTTTTTCCTAACATAATTGTACGAACATTTTAGTTTTAATTATTAAATAATTTTTTTATATTGTGATATTTGGGAGATGCTAGTCAGCTACATGGGCTAAGACAAGAGAAACAAGTGAGTAGAGGTGGCCACCGAGAATTGCCCATATTGGCTCATTAAGCTATTTCACCAATTAATGATTAAACAAAATTATTCATATTATCATACCCAGAATTGTCCATATTGGCTCATCAGGACACAAATGATTAATGTTATATCAAGACAAAAAACAAGAAAGACTGAGAAGGGAAATGGAGATGAAGAGGATTAGAGAAGAGCTCCTGCAGCAGCAAGCCAAACAAAGGAAGACTCAAGCATGATCAACTCATATTTATCTTCTTGTATCTTTGTATTCCATTATTTCATCTACTTCTGATTCTGTTTGAGTATTGTTCTCTTGAACACAATCACAATCCAAGAATAATTTAACTTGGCATTCACATAATAGCTAAGTTCTATCTTATTAATGACATTATATAAACTTTTGAAAATCACATGTCGTGTTTTTCAAGGATTAAAAAAAAATAAAAAATGGACAACACTTTGAAATGTTGATTACTATATGCCGAGGCACAATCAGGAATGCATTATCTGAACATTGTTTATATATATATATATATATATATATATATATATAATCAAACTGACCCTTCCTTTTTATATACCCATTATTAATAAAAAAAAAAATTCCCAAATCTCATTGACCCCAATCGCCTATGATGTATGTTTATGTACAATGGAAGGGAGTATGGCTGCGTGGGCATGGTGTTTCATGAGTGTCGGTTAGAATCTGAATGATTGTAATGTTAACATCTGTGTTAATAAAGGGTATTTTTGTAACTTCAGAAATAGTCAATGATGTCATATTTCACATGTATTAATTTTTGTTTCTTCTTCAAATATTAAAAAAAAAAATGTTGTTTCAATATACAATTAAGTATTAAAAGTGTACTGTATGTATAATTTTTTCTATAATTTATGTCATTTTTAAATATTAAAAAATGTTTGCGAGACGAAGTTCATTGTCGGGCAAGATTATTATTTTTTGTTTGCTTAATTATAAAACTTACCAATGAAATTTTAATTGGGTATAATATATATATATATATATATATATATATATATATATGTTTTTCTTCGTAAACTTAAACTTTGGCCAATGAAAGATTTTGGTCAAACATGTATTGTCCGTGGAGCAAAATTAGTCAACGCAATTTTGCTCGAGGAAAGGGTGATCGGAAGGTCTGTTGGGAAAAATTCTATTGGCCAAGGGTTTCTATTTTTTATAAGGAAAAATTTAATGCAACGAGGTTCGCACGATGAACTCTGCCAGACGAATGTTTGTTGGGCAAAACCTAATTAAGTGACAAAATGTGAGTTTGTGCGACAAAATTTTTTCTTCCGAAAAATGTAAATTTTTTTTTTTTTTTGGTAGTGCCACATGATTTCTCTGTATATATGAACATCGATCGTCCTTTAACCTTTTTTTTTTTTTTAACAAACGATATTATCTATACTAAGGAGAGAGGGTGGACTTAGGCTCACAATGTGATAGCAATAGTGTGGTTCAAATTTACTTTTGATGAGAATCGAACCTAATACCTCTCACTTACAAGTGAAGAGCAATATCACTAAACCCTAGTACTAAGTGGCTTAGCTCATTGAAACACAAGTTTTGAAGTTAGATCTTTGGTTTCTTGTAGGCTGCTCTTTAAAACCGTAACCCTAGTTTAGATCTTTGGTTTCTTGTAGGCTGCTCTTTAAAACCATAACCCTAGTTCTACATTAAGGTTCAATATAATAACACAACAACACGTGTCACATTTGTGTTATTTGAGTTAGATATGGGGTAATTTTGTAATAGTATAGAGTCTCTTGTTATTATTTTCTCTCAGCTTCTATTTCCTTATTCTTCTTCGATAGCTTACACTTTCCCTATCTAGATTACTGTTTCTCTGATTAACATTCCATAGCTTCAGAACTGTGAAAACAATATGGCTCAGGTACTGCCAAGTCTTTAATATTCTTCTCGTCTTATTAGTATATATTGTTGGAAAATAACAATATATTCCTAGTTTGATAGCTTTTCGTTCACGCGTTCTGATACGTACTATGGTTTTCAACTTAATTATATACTAGTTGCATGTGAAGGAAATTAAGATCCAATTTTATTTCCAATGTTGTGTTTTTTTGTAGAAAGTTGTGGTGAGGATCATGACTATGGATGACGAGAAGACAAAGCAGAAAGCCATAGAGGCCGTTGCCGACCTATACGGTTTTTTATCTAATTTTTCCAAGTTTCTTTTAATTTATTTATGCACCTGCTCTTACTTGGAGCAAGACGCTTTCTTTTGTAGTTTATTAAATTTAGCTGGGAATGGGCTGGGGTAGACCTGGCAATTTCTGACACGACCCGATAACCCGACACGACACGACACGAAATTAACAGGTGTTTGGGTCGACACGATAACGAATCGGGTAACCCGATAAGCACCTGTTAAGATAACGGGTTGGGTCGGGTATACACGTGGGTAAACACGATACACGATAAGCAGAATATTATTTTTATAATTTTATAACCCTAAAAAAATACTGTAATAATTATATACATTAATTTTACAATTTTATACCCCTAAAAATTATAATATATATATATATATATATATTAAATTAACTATAAAATTTATAATAATTATAATTATTATATATACTATAATAATTATACCCCCAAAATATTAAGTCTATCTATACTAATTATATATATATATATATTAAATTTTATAAAAACTATAATGCATATTAATTAATAATTTAATATGCATGAATCATGATCATGCATTTGCCAACTTGCCGCCCTTTTTGAAAAAAAAAATGGAGGGAAAATGAAAATGTTAAGAAAAGTTGAAAATAAAACAAAAAAGTGAGGGAATTAGGGAAAGATGTTGGAGGGAAAAGTGAAAATGATAAGAAAAAGTTGAAAAGGAAACAAAAAAAAGAGGGAAAAATGAAAATTAATAGAAGTGGTGAGAAATTTTTTTTTTTTTTTTTTAAGTTATTAACTTTTTATCACACACATGACTGTCATGACATATCTCACTATTTTTATAATGACACACGTGACACGTGATGTATGTACTATTCCGTGTACCAGTCAATTATAATTTATACGTACAAAATAAATAGATTTAAATCTACTTAATAAATATATATACACACACACACACACACACACACGGAACTTGATTGATGGCATACGAATTCTCCAAAACTAATTTCAACGATCCCAACCGTCAAACTTGTTTGTATATGCTTTGAGATCACATCACCAAAAAATCATAAAAAATAAACATTCAGAGATCAAGTAACGGGACAAAGCTTTTCAACGGTTATAAACGAAAAATCATGATTTAACGATTATTTTAACTCTGATTTTGATGATTTTTTATAACTACACTCCTTGACCCTATATGAATACAATGACTGAATTCGATCTTCAATTTAAAATATTTACACAAGTGGATACCACAAAATCTTTTATTATACTTAATGAAAGTATAAATAAACTCTAAGTGTTAGTCAATCTATCGTTTTACGAATTCTCCAAAACTAATTTCAACGATCCAAACCGTCAAAATTGTTTGTATATGCTTGGAGATCACATCAGCAAAAAATCACAAAAAAAAAACATTCAGAGATCAAGTAACGAGACAAAGCTTTTCAACGGTTATAAACGAAAAATCACGATTTAACGGTTATTTTAACTCCGATTTTGATGATTTTTTATAACTACACTCCTTGACCCTATATGAATACAATGAATGAATTCGATCTTCAATTTAAAATATTTACACAAGTGGATACCACAAAATCTTATGTTATACTTAATGAAAGTATAAATAAACTCTAGGTGTTAGTCAATCTATCGTTTTACGAATTCTCCAAAACTAATTTCAACGATCCAAACCGTCAAAATTGTTTGTATATGCTTGGAGATCACATCAGCAAAAAATCACAAAAAAAAAACATTCAAAGATCAAGTAACGGGACAAAGCTTTTCAACGGTTATAAACGAAAAATCACGATTTAACGGTTATTTTAACTCCGATTTTGATGATTTTTTATAACTACACTCATTGACCCTATATGAATACAATGAATGAATTCGATCTTCAATTTAAAATATTTACACAAGTGGATACCACAAAATCTTATGTTATACTTAATGAAAGTATAAATAAACTCTAAGTGTTAGTCAATCTATCGTTTTACAAATTCTCCAAAACTAATTTCAACGATCCAAACCGTCAAAATTATTTGTATATGCTTGGAGATCACATCAGCAAAAAATCACAAAAAAAAAACATTCAGAGATCAAGTAACGGGACAAAGCTTTTCGACGGTTATAAACGAAAAATCACGATTTAACGGTTATTTTAATTCCGATTTTGATGATTTTTTATAACTACACTCCTTGACCCTATATGAATACAATGAATGAATTCGATCTTCAATTTAAAATATTTACACAAGTGGATACCACAAAATCTTATGTTATACTTAATGAAAGTATAAATAAACTCTAAGTGTTAGTCAATCTATCATTTTACGAATTCTCCAAAACTAATTTCAACGATCCAAACCGTCAAAATTGTTTGTATATGCTTGGAGATCACATCAACAAAAAATCACAAAAGAAAAACATTCAGAGATCAAGTAACGGGGCAAAGCTTTTCGACGGTTATAAACGAAAAATCAAGATTTAACGGTTATTTTAACTCTGATTTTGATGAATTTTAACAGCTACACTCCTTGACCCTATATGAATACAAAGAATGAATTTGATCTTCAATTTAAAATATTTACACTAGTGGAATTTATATACTTAATAAAAGTATGAATCAACTATAATATTAATAATTATATACATTTAATATTTGTAATAGATTAGTAGTGTATGTATTATTTTTTTTATTAGGCTTTCATTTTCGAGTGTAGATATAGTACTTGAACGAGAAATGTTTTAATGTTTTCAAGTAATATTTATGTCGCAATGTGTGATATGTGCAAATTGTAAAAAAATATATTTTTTTCTTAACGGGTCATAACGGGTCATAACGGGTCGGGTCACTTTACCCGTTGGGTAAAGTGACACGACCTGTTAAGGACCCGTTAAGATAACGGGTGTGACACGACACGACCCGTTAAGATAACAGGTGTTACACGAAAACGACACGAACACGACAGACACGACCCGTTTGCCAGGCCTAGGCTGGGGGCAGTTTCTGGTAGGGGTTTGCTAATGCGCCCAATCGAGGCCTCCCATAGTTATCTGTATCCATGCGGATTTTGCCATCCTTTTGTCCTGTACTAATGAGATCACTTTGCAGAATGACCAATTGTTTGTTGATAAACAGGGGTTGACTCAATTGCAGCTGATTTGAAGGAGCAGAAGCTTACGGTCGTTGGAGAGATGGACACTATTGCAATAGCCAAAAAGCTGAAGAAAATAGGCAAAATAGATATAGAATCGGTTGGTCCAGCCCAAGAAGAGAAGAAGGAGGAGAAAAAAGAAGTGGAGGGAAAGAAATGATCATGGCGTTTATTTGATGGAGATGGCCCTTATGTATACATGTACTATTTGAAATCAATAATGCTTCCGACCTCATTGTTAACAGTATACCATTGTATATAAAACGCATCCATATTAAAGGGTGTATCAGTAATGAATATGTGCTAAATATAGCGTTACTCGTTTGAAATTAATGAAACAAATCATGCATATTCTTGAGATTCTATGCGTGTCAATTATTCAACTAAAGATTAATAACGGTTGTGGAGTGTATGATTTTTCTTTGAATATGATGTTATTTTATTTTCATGTTTTTGATATGGGAGATAGGATTTGCACTGGGTATCTCTTCGAACGATATGGGAGATAGGATTTGCACTGGGTATCTCTTCGAACGAACTAGAAGGAGAAGTACTCCCGAATTTAATTAATTTAAGAGGCATAACGCTGATACAAATAAATCCATGCTCATCATACAAAACATGTCTAATGGCAAGGTAATGATACAACATGGAATCCCCTGCATGCCTCTTATTAATTTATTTATGTAAATTTCATCTTTCACCCGTTTTTGAATTCTATTTCACATACGCTTTCAGCTACAAGAAAATATTGATGAATTCTTTAATAGTTAGAAAGAGTGTTTTCTTTGCTTCTCATCATTTGTCATATTTTCTCACGAACCTTATACTAAAAATATAGATGACAAGTCATTATAAGGTGGGTATAGAAAAATAAGGTGGATAATTAGTAGCACTTAGCTAGAATTGCATGTACAAGAAAGCAAAATGTCATTTAGAATCTCTTTCGCCTTTGTACCAAAAGCACAAGCACCGGAGACCAACAGCCTTCCCCGGCCCTTCCTATTCAAGGGAGATTTCCCGGCTCTCTTTCCCTGAAATCAATCGAGATAACAAACCCGGACCTCTACCCCGTATCTAATTGAAAATATCTCTTTTTTTTTTTTTTGGGTTTATGTGATGATCTCTGTCTCGTCTTGTGTTTTTCTTAAGTTTGGCTTCTCCTTGTCGGTTGTGCAAGGTTTTAGTATTCCCGTCTTCTCCACGTTGTTCTCCAGAATTGGGTCGACTTTTTCTAACTATAAAACCAAATTTGATTTGCTTGCACCAGATTAATGCCTAAACTCAGTTACATCAATGTCGACTTTTATAAATATACTGTTTTTACTAAAAATATTCCAAGCTACACTCAGTTACATCAAGATCAACTTTTGCTTGCTGACACCATTAGCGCCCATGTAAAAGTATTGGCAGACAACAAATTTGGGTTACTTTTGGGATCTTCCAATCAAAACAAGAATAAAATGCCTCAATAACATTTTTTTTTTCTTTCGGGAATTGTATGTGGTGGTCGTGTTTTTGCCCTAGTTGAGAAGAAAGTAATTAAAATTAAAAAATGGTCTTTATTTTTTTTGGTGAAGAAAAAAAAAATGGTCTTTATTATTACATGATGACGATGGAGTCGTATGAAAAGTAAATAAATATTAAATAATGTTGTGAACGAAACAAATTTTCCTCATCATACTCCATAAACAAGCATTAGGGTTACGAGCATATCATAGGAAGAGCTATGAAATCTAGGGTGTCCACTAACGAAAAAAGACAACTGTGTTTGGAATGATTAGTAAAGGTTGCAAATTACAACAAGATAATTAGCGCATATTGGCATGCCTGTTGACGTGCAATCAAAAAGAGCAAGCTATGTATAAGACACATAAAAGGGCGATACAATGCCAAGTGAGTGTTTAGGTCGTATTAAAATAGTTTGGATTCGGGACACATATTTTTTACATATATTTTGGCGCACACTTTTATAAGACTCACTCCGTAATGTAGTTCAACAATTCAAATGTTTATCTTTTACATTTTCTCTCAAATATCATCTCTATAAAAAATTACTCAAATCCAAAACCATATGATCGCTGGATTCAATTTAGTGTTTCTTTGTAGAACCGTGTTCGCTCATTTTCATCACTACATATGAATTGCTTAATGGTTTTAGATTTATCTAATCTTCTGCAAGAATGATCTATGAATGATATACTAAAATATAGAAGGTTCAGATTGTTGAAATATATTACAAAATGGTGTCAAAATGTGTGTCAAAAGCGTATGTTCACGGATCCTAACATATATATATGTATATATAATTAATGTTTTTACACATATTTTAACACACGTTTTTATGACTTCCATTCCGTAATCTTCTATATTTGTAGTGAAGACATTCATTCATCATTCACATATCATCCTAACAAAAAATATATATATATATATTTAGACAAATCCAAAACTATAAGACATTTATTTGTAGTGAAGAAAATGGACAAACATGGTTCTATAAAGAAATACCAAATTTAATCCAAGGGTCGTATGGTTTCGTATTTTGGCGATTTTTCGTAGAGATGATATTTGAGGAAAGACATAAATGATAGATGGTTGGATTGTTAAAATATATTATGGAGTAATTCTCATAAAAACATATGTCAAAATGTGTGTCAAAAAGATGTATCTCCGGATCCTAACCCATAAATACATGCTTGTAAGTGTTTTTACTAAAAGTTCTTTTTATTCTAAGTATGTTTTGTTGTAAACATTGGTGGCTGACCACTAAATAATGTAATGGATGACTATATCAACCACTTTAGAACACTGTAGCTTAGCTAGCAGTAAGGCAGCAAGCACTATCATCTGTGCCTATAAAAAGGAATGTTGAGGATGAGAGCAAACACATAGAAGCCACAAGGCTCACGGAAGAGGAAGAGAGAAAAGAGAGGAAGAGGAGAGGAGATAATCAAGAGAGTTAGTTTGTACTCTTATTATTCTAAATTATAATGAAAGCACCACTGCTGCTCCGGGGACGTACTCCAGTCACATTGATTGTAAGGGAACCTCGTAAATTTTGTGTCTTGTTTTATTTATTCCACTGCACACACCGTCGAGTTTTACATCATGTTATCAGCACGAGAAGCTCTCGTGTCAGTGGAAAGCACAAAGCCACAAATCATGTTCACCTATGTTGCTTGGAATCTCACAGATAAGAAAATCTTTGTACTACTGATTTCCCTGAAGCAAATATATATATGTTGTTGTATGATTGTATATCATCATTTGCAGAAGCAAAAGTGTACATACTCAAAATTCGTATCTGACAGCCATATAAACAGCCTTGGAACTCCAACTTGCAGACCTCAGATTGAAATACTTTCTTCTTCAAAGTTGTTCGTCCGCCCAGCACCTACAACATATCAAATTTTCAAAAAATTCCATCGGTGAGATTATCACAGATGCCTAAAATACCAAACTAGCTTCCAATTTTCGCAGAAAATTGGATAGGCACCTTATGAGTACCAAAACTCCATTTAGGTAGCTCAGATCAAAATTGTTTCTTCACCAAATTTTTTCGGTTTCCTCTTATCCATATCATACTACAATTTGAATTAAATATAACGGTTTGATCTTCTCATAAGTTACCGACACTATTGACTCCAAAACTTATGGGAACCGTTTCGATTTTTTCAAAACTCACCGGAGGAGGAACACCAATTGGAAATTAGTGTTTCTATTATTTCCTAGATAACTAAAACGACTTTGAACTGTGAAATAATAATAAAGGTAAAAGGGATGAAATAAAAGAAAATGGCAGACCAAGAAAAAGAAAAAAAAAAAGCAAAAGATAAGGACGTAATCATTGCATTTTCTGTTTTGGCATATTTATGTGCATGGTGTTGGTTTAAAGCCCTATCACAAGTTCTATTTATTTATAGTGTGTAGAATTATTACCCTTTGCTTTAAAGCTTTGATATTTATGTGAATGGTGCTTAATCAAAGCCTTTGTCACAAGCTTTATTTACTTAAAAGCAATTTATTTACCATGGCTGGAATTACCGCCTATTACTTTAATTTATTTATTGTACTTCTTTTTGTTACGATGAGTACATACTGGACCCGAAGTTCCTTGATCATATAAGAACATGAAGTTTCTTGATCCTCATCACATAAAATGATTAGACCCGAAGTTCCATCATGCAAAAAGATCAGGAATGAAGTCCCTAGATCCTCAAGATCAGACATGAAGTTCCTTGATGAGTACCTTAAGTTTGAAGAGCCGAAGTGCCACAACTTAATTGTAATAAAGGCCATAAGAGTCCCAATTCATAGGCTATTAAATAAGGACCAAAAGTTCCTTGATGTATGATACATTTTGTTGGAGAGTTTACAACTCGAAGTTTTGATGATTATTGCATGTCATTGGGCATTGATGTTGAACACCATGTTCCTCATCTTCATACTAAAAAATGATTTAGAAGAATCATTTATTAAGCGAATGAAATTGATTACCCATGCTCTGCTCATGAAAACGAGATTGCAAGTTTTTCTATATGTGGACATACCATTATACATAATCCACTACTACGTTTGGTTGAGACCAGTTACCAACTATCAATATTTCTTAGTACAACTCGTGTTTGGGCACCAGCCAAACATTACACTTGTACGGGTTTTTTCATTATGTTATCTATGTGCCTATTATACTGCCACAATGTACTAGAAATGCGGCTTGAAGGCAAACTGGAAATTTATGTTGAATTTAATTCACCATCTATCATTCAACATTCCGAACCCTTGACTAGGGATATGTTTACCGCGTGGCTTGCAGACTAGGATTTTGATAAGACAGTATTCCCGCCGTTAGGGGGAGAAAATAACATCGTTCTAGAAGAATGATGAGAAATTATCATTCAAGAAGAATGAAGAGAAAAGACCGTTCTAGAAGAACGAAGAGAATTTGTCTTATTTTGATTCATGAAGCAATCAACATAAAAACGAAGTGAGAATAATTGAATGATGCAACGATATGCAAATCAAATGCTAGATGCATTTAATGATGCAACGAAAGTAATAAATCACATAGACTTGTTGCAAATGTGCTTACATGAATTGATGTTCCTGTTGGATAAAATAATGTGGTAACAAATCTGTTGCACGCTTGAAGCATCGAAGACCCTTAGATTCAAAAGGTTCAGTTCTTTGAAAGAAGAAGAATATGGCACTATTGAACTATTGCATTCCCAAAGCATAATTGTTGCATGCCGGAAACATGACAATCGCCGTATAGATACATGTCCCAAAAAGGACAATCCGCAGACATGAGAATGTTGATGTCTCATGCATGAAGCATG